CCCCAAAACCCCAAAACCCCAAAACCCCTCCTTCCCACAATATAATTTAAAATCCTCAAAAAATGGAACTTCAAGCACAGCCCAGCTTGCACCAGTAAGTTCAGAGGAACAGGTTTTAGTAGAGAGATGGGGTAGGGTGAGGGATTGGAGAGGGGGCAAATCGAAGGAAGGAGAGGAGATAGGGAGGTTTGGAGGTGTTTTGAGCAAATAGAAGGGTGGGGTTAGGGTATGGGGGTGGAGGGCGGTTTTGGGGTTGTAGAGGAGGGTGCGAGTGGGGAATGGGAGTGTGAGATGTTGGAGAAATTTTTGGTATTTTAAACGAAGATTTATACCTCTGATAGTCGCTTTGTTATCGAGAATTTAAATATATGAGATATCTTTAGATGGGTTTCCATGAGAGACAAGATATTACTAACTTTTGTAAGAAGTGATTTCTGATAAAATCTGAATTGTACTTTTCATCTAAAATTTTGAATGATTTTAACAAAACTATAGACTTGAAACATGAGTAAAAATCAAAGATATGCAGATAAATCATTACATTTTCAAAGACTTATATTATAATGCAGATTCGTCTGAACTAGAATTATCTCAAAGAGATCTAATATCAGGCAAATTAAATGCTAGAAGTAAAGAACTGTCCTTCTGATTTGAAGAAATTCGTGACCAAATGTTTGTAAAGAAGCTGTGCTCGATCTCTCATTTTGATGTGGACTCATTAACACTTTCTAATATTCAAAAGAGAAATAAATATTATGACATTTTTCTGGACTTTTCTTTTCCTAATAAAGTGAACTGGTTCTGCATTGAAGCCGGATATACTAAAAAGCAAAATATTGCCTATTACTTTGATAGGATTATCAAAATAAGTCATAAGATATGAATAAACATGGTTCTTTGAGGGTTCATTATCAAAGGAGATCAGCTAAAAAGGTTATTAAGTTCATTTAAACATTGCAAACTATTCGAACTATTTAGTTGCAAATTATCTATTCCGAATTCTTTTAACCTTTCTCAGGCTATGAAGAATACTAAACTCGAGACATTAATGTTCTATCATTGCGACTTCAGACTTGAGAACTGAATATCTGAGGATAGAAAAGAGTTAAACAGCCTTATTGAAGGTCTTGGGACTTCAGAAAGTTTGATTTCAAGCCTCAAGGAATTAGACATCAGAGATTGTAAAATCTGCAAAAAGACAATTCTTGAGCTGCTTGAGCAGAATGGATTTGGAGATGTCAAAATCTTGGTATAAATTAATGAATTTCTTCTAAGATCCAATCTCAATAAATTTATAAAGATTTCATTGCCTAATCTTGTTTCTGGTAAGGTATCTATACTTTATGGCTTTCTCTTCTTCTGATCAAATGTACCAGTGGCTTGTTGCTTTGAAGTAAAAGGTATCTGATAGCGAGAAGAAGAAATATTGAGGCCTGAGAAAACCAAGATTAGGCGTTTAGTAGTTGGTTATGAGGTTTAGATTGGATAAATTATTAGGATGACGTGATTTTAGAGACTGGCTTGAGGAATTGCATTGATTTATTTAGTTTGAAGAATGCTGGTATAAAATAAAAATATTTTTAAATATCATCAATAAATTCTTTCAATCACCAATTTCTAAGCACTTAAACCTCCTTAATCTCCCTCTAAAAATAATTTATCTCCTCAATTTAATTTCCCAACTAAAAATCTATCCCCATTCTTTTTCTTATAATCTTACATATACTAATACTCAACTCCCTTCCTTTATTTCTAACAGATCCCTACCACCCACTGCACCTCTAAACCAATATCAAGCCCTTCATCTTCTCTACATCTCAACCAACTCTTTCAGTCCACCTATTTTTACAGTCTTAAACTTTTTGGAATCTTGTTGAATTTTACATTTATTCTCAAGGCTCGTATGGAAAATATTTTTCTTTGTATTTTAATTAAATTATCTGAGTAAGCTCGAATGTAACTGGGAAAATTGATTTAATAAATTACATAATAAATTTTATCCAGTTGAAAAGGCTATTAAGCGCATACAGACATGTTGAATCCTCCCTTTTACTTGATTGCTAAATCTCAATCACAGAAATCCCTGATTTCTCCAATTCTTTGAAATATACTAAGATTCGAAATCTTCGTTTCCCATTGACTAAATTTTGCTAAAAAACCAACAAAGAAGCCAATTTAAAAGATGCATCAAATTCAATTAAAGGACTATGAACCTCACAAGACTCAAAGAAACCTCTAAAACAATACAACTTCATCTCTCTAAATCAGATAAAGCTGAAATCCAAAGACTTTTAAACCAAAATAGTTTTAAAATATGTATCTAAAATATAATTCTTAAACCCGAACAAATACATCAATCTTTGTGTTCACATTTCTACCAAAAATGTAATTCTCCAAATTTAAAAGAGTAGAGCCAATCCTTATGCTAACCTATCGGAAGAGGATATTTCCAATATGATTCCTACATTATATGGCATCTGTATTTTTGATTCTGATAATTAGTGGGGTATTAAGAGTATTTTAGTATTTTTATAGCCTATTTTATAAGTAAGATTTTAAGGTAGTTCAGCAGATTCAGCATAGATTTATCAGAAGATAATGTACTAAAGTCAAATGAATGGATTTGAAAGTTTATGACTAGAGTATCCTTTTGAAATAGAGCGTAATTCTAAGTAAGATCAAGAACACCAACAGAGAGCGACTAGCAAATCTATGCAAGCTTCCATAGTTAGTACTTATTAGCCCATCTCTCGATCCTGAGAATTTTTATGAGATGGTGAAGAATCGACTAGAAAATAGGCAGAGAACAATTCTTACCGAAAAGAACCTAATCATTAAATTAAGTTGAAATTTACAAAATTTTAAACAATTCCAGATAGTTTCTAGTAATCCATTACGAATTATCATATAACATCTTGAGTCCCAGAGGAAGAAGAAATTTATTATTTAATTATAGGAAGAAAGATAAAAACTAAACAACCAAGACTAGAAAAAGAAGAGTATATTTCGAAAATATGACAAAAAATCTATTCCTTGAAGAGGGAACAAGAGAAAAGGGGATAAATAAATAAACATTAGATGAATACAGTAATAATCTGAAGATTGTGTGAAAAATTATCAACAAAGAGAGAAAACTGGTATCATTTGTCTAAATAACAAATTACAGTTCACCTCACAATTATATATTCAATTCTCTCTGACTCTTCAGGGGTTTTGGGGTTTTGGGGTTTTGGGGTTTTGGGG